ACTACAGTTTGCGATCAAAAAATCTGAAAAAATTCTGTAAGATGCGCTATCTGGACCTCAATGTTTCAGAATTTTTTCAGAATTTTTGTACGAAATTAAATAGGCAAAAAGGGCCAAAAACCGGAATTTCGTTTTTTCCCTTTTACTACCCCCACGGATGAGATAGGGGGTTGAAACTTGATGTGAGATGTTTTTTTGGGATATGCTACCGACTGACGAGTTGGGTCTCAAATTCGACTCAAGGGCACATTTGACCACCTTATCCGGCTATACCCTTTGCGACATTACTTACACATATATACTACTAATAATTGATGAAGTTGTTCTAAAAAGGTCAAGTACATACATACCATGGAACATACGAAAAGGGTGTTTCGTATTGTAACCGGCGAGCGCAGGTGGTCCTGAATTCACCTCAAGACGAACACAAACCATTTCATCTCCCCGCATCCCTGCCGTATTTAAAACCCAACTGCAATGTTTTTCTTCCGTCGCGTTACAGTTAGCATTGTCGTTAATCCGGTTATTGACTCCTATCGCATGGTGCGCTGGATTAGCGACAGCTGATTGGTTCGTGACGTCACGGAGCCGTTTCCGAATTCAGGTGATCGTCTAGCTCTCGCCGGTTACAAGACAACGGAACCTCGAGTAATAGATATCCTCGCGATTACCGACCTGATAGTGAATGTAGTCACTCCCCAGTTAAATTTAATTAACTTTCATTTCTCTCTTTTCCGAGCGTGAGTCGTCTTGTTTATTACGTGTGCGTGTTAATAGTCAGTGTGTCGTTAAGTGTTAGAATTAAAGATCGTGAAAAGGAATTAACCTGTGCTCAGCTCATTTAAGGAACCTCTACCATTCCTGCATTCCCACGCAAATGGGAAATACAAATATAAGATACAAACACCTTTCTCTAATAAACAAAATGATATCCTAATTAACCCTTTCGCTACGGCGGTTTAGTTCGCCGTAGCACCACTCCTGAATGGGACCTCCCGCCCGTGCACATTGCGTGTGGATAGAGTATTTTGGAAGAAAAGGGATTTTTCTTTAAAACTTATAATATCTACTTATAATATCTACGTAAGATATAAATTTATTTAACGGGTAAAAAAGTCTCATTAATAATTGAAAAAAATGAAGAAATAATATATAATATAGAATAGAGAGGGATCATATGAATGTCGGATATATCCGGCGTTCGGCTCCGCGAGTTTTCATGTGGATGACGAATATATCCGTCGTTCGGAGCAAAAGGGTTAAGCGAAAAAACTAAGATTATTTATTCGATTCTGATATTTAAACTTTGTCCCAAATAAACGCCTGTCCCGATTTTAACAGATTCCGCTAAATAAGTGGAATCAACTATATAGAAGGACAAGAGAAAATTACCATATAGAAACAGATCATGCATTCTACAATACATATGAGAGGATAAGGCTGAACTCATCGATGTTTCTAAGAACAGAAAAATGTATAATTCATTATACATATAATAAAATATAGAAATTAAAATAGTATAAATGCATACATGAAAAACTCTTAACCCTAAACTGTTAAAGGTAACCCTAAGATTTCGGCTATATTATTAAGTCAACGAAAATAAAAGTATGAAAATTTAAACGAATTTTTAAACTCGCAACATAACATATTTTGCAATTGATAAATAAAATGTCGATGTATCAAAGGATTAATGTAAAAACAAATTATACTAACATGAAATTTATCAATAAACACAGAAAATACTATAAAAAGGGATATTACTGAATTCCAAATTGTGTAGAAGAGAAGAATTTATATGTATAGTTTGTTCTTCAAATGCTAGAAATATCACATAGTCCGACTACAATGCTTCTTCCTTTGTTTTCAAATGTTTAATGTTTTCAGTTTATTTTAGTATATAGTATAGCGATGAAGTATGGCAGATAGAAACGATACTAAGTACATCTTCGCTCTAATTGTCAATGCAGTGACTTTATACAAATATTTACCGTTAGCCTTTGTTCTAAAGTAATGCAATTCATTACTTATAATGTTACATTATTGATATAGTTTTATTTATTTAACAGAATTATTACATAGTTCGCTTCGTTTATATTATTGTCTTAACATAAGATCAAAATACGTATTTTGAATATTCCAATGTTTATTAAAGTATTTAATAATTATTAGGGAATAAATAAGAACTAATTATAAGTTTGTTTTAATGTGCAGCTGGAAATGAAAAAAATGTTAATTGACAGAATGGTTAATTTATTGAGTAAAGGTTGTGTGGTCCCCGTAGTATGTTATATAAAACAATGTTGGCAACGCGGAGATACCGATGTGTCTTTGATCAGATACTTCGTTACAGAGGTACTGTAAAATTATTTTTTCTCTTGATAACAATGTAACGTTTATCGTATTTATATACTAATAATATATTTATATTGCTAGGTTTTGGAAGCAATCGCTCCACCATATACTGCAGAATTTGTACATTTATTCTTACCTATGGTGGAAGACGAGGAAATTACAGGGTCAATGCGTGGTGATAGCGATAACGATCTTGTTTCGGAATTTATAAGTAAGTTTACTAAACTTTTTATAAAAGAATTATATATAATATTTAAATTGTATCATTTTTAGTACATTGTAAAGCACATTGTTCTACGATTAGATGATGTATAATTGTGGAAAATGGATCAAAACGAAGGAAAATACAAGGTTTGCAAGAAATGTATTCATTTTCTATTTCCATATAATACTAATTTATTTGGCTTCCGTTCTTCTTGTTACATACAATGTAAATGCAAGTGCATATGTATGTTTAAAAAATAACGACTCCATTGCTCATCTGTGATACCATAACTTATGGATTTTCTGTAACAAAAGCAGTTATTATCAACAGTATGTAACTATTGTAAATTGCATAGTCTTTTGAATCTTTTAATAAAAATGATTGCTTAATAGTATGACAAAACTGTTAAATTTCATCATGCAATATAATTGTTAGTAAATGTTATATTATACGTATCTTTAGAAGTTTGCTGGTTTAAAAAACTGCTAAATGAAAAGGGATACGATGTATTTTAATATATCCTACGCACGAAACAAAATATATAAATAAATAGAACTATCTTTTACCTACTACCATATTGTGCCAAAATAAATATATATCATTGTTTAAAAAATGTAAGTACAGCTTAATATTTTGGAACATAATAAAAAGAATGTTGTCATTACATGTGCCCTTTGAATAAATTTTATAGAACATATTTTTCCTATAAAACTAAATTAATGTTGGCAATAGTTCTGCACATAATATATTACGTACCGTTGTCAACCCACGAGTTGACGCGTGAAGAGGTCGACCCGAGTGTTTAGAACAGCTACGGTGGCTCCAATTGGTTAGAATAAAAAAATGAATGTCTAGATTTACATGTATTTTCAGCGGTAGGAATAATTAGCTCAAGTGGTCAATTAGGCCAAAAACAATGACAGTCTCAAATATCTCAAGAGTGAGTGAAATAGCGTGAATTGCATGATACAATTCTTATTGACATTATTATTACTTTCATTTACCAAAATGTAACGCTAGAAGTGTTGACAGTGGGGATAGGCTTTGCTTCTTTTACTTTAAGTTGACCTCCTCACGCGTCAACTCGTAGATTGACGTTGTGTTACACACATTTTTTATTGTATAATAATACAAATAATATGATACACAGAAAAATTCAAGTGCCAACATGTGTAATTTTCTATCCTTCCTTTCCAAATTTCCATCAATATCAAATAAAATTTTAACATCAATATGAATAACAATAGCAGCTCCTCTGTGTTTAATGATCGTTTATATAAGGTTAAATATTCAGAATGTATAAACAACAGATATTGTTGTATTCAGGAAAGTCCATAGAATCTTTTGTAGTTACATCACAAAATTTTGTTGAATTTGAAAAATGTGCTATTTGTTTTTAAATAGAACTTCGTAGTTTCGCAAGAAATGCTGTAATAATCATTGCACTTCAATATTTTAAATAATTAAGGGATGCGCCAATTTAAAAAAAACAGTAAATATCCCTCTTCGTTCATTAAAAAATACACTTTTCGAAAATACATTCAATACAAATTCGAAAATAATCACAATATTTCGTCAATAAAATGCATAAACAATATATTTCTGTTAACTGGACTTTCTAGAATTACTTCCTACTTGTTTTGAAGTGAATTAAAAGCAGGTATAGTGAAGTAGGCGCTCAGGACGCGCTGCACGCTGCCTCAGGGGGACGACTCACAAAATGCCGGACCACCGAGGCACTGCCGTAAAGATTAGTTTTAGTTTTATGGGGGGATGTCTTTTCCAACCTCTCTCGGGATTCCTGTGCCGCC